GAGGCCTCAAATCCTGTATAACAACATCAAAACGATGAAACGTACCTCAAAGCAAACTTAATGAATTTTTGACTTCCAAAACTCGCGCCGAAATATATCAAATCAACTCGGAATGAACTCAAATTTTGCAAACAAGTCCTAACACATCATACAGAGCTACTCGTGCCCCCATACTACCGAGTCAAGTGCAAATGCTCAAAATGACCGGTCGAGTCATTACATTAAAACACACAGGTCAAAAGCACAAACATGACACACTAATTCAACCAAATTCTCTGGATCACTACTGTATATTTATGATTTCTTCAGCCAAAATACTAAACATCCAAAATTTTCAACAATTAACCTTTCTAGCTCGCAAAAGGTTTATGTTTAAAGTTGTAACCAAATCAATTGTAATCATATCCAAACATCAGCAAATAGCTGTCATTTTTTATAGAGATATAGCTAGGAGAAAATGGGGCACACAAGATGACTTTTTGTAGATGTTGGTTTAGAGGTTAAAAGTAATGAAGAGTTTTATTTGTAATCAATTAAACTGGCCTAATATCACAGCAGAATACTGAAGGAGCACCCAGAAAGCAACAGCAAAAATGGACTTAATCGCATTCAAAAACATCAGCAAAAGTGACTTCAGTCACATCCCATAATAGTAGCAAAAGATCCTTTACTGGCAAAAGTACCAACAAATTGTAGTCATTCCATTTTTTTGGCTTTTTCAAATAATTGAATCTCATATTAAATCTACAAGAAATAAAAAGTTCAAATACCTTTCAGCACTTTTTTAAAGGAGGAATTTTCATTTCCATATTACTTTTGTTGTAGGAAGTATTGCTTTTGCTGGTTGTGTGTTGGTGTTTTCCTTCCTCTGCCAATTTGTTTAATTTTATGTTTGCTTCCTTCTGCAACGTCCATGATGGTGGATGGCATTTGTGAGGTAAACAGATTGCCTTTGTCTATGAGAGATAAAATAACTAGCTTCCCTGGCACCGCATCATGGTTTTTCGTTAAACAACTTTTTCATCTGAATGTATGTTGAATATTTTCCCCATCAGATGCTTTTGCACGTTCACAAAGGTCAATAGTTGCTTCTAGGAGGATAAGATTGGTTATTTACATATCAGAAGAATCATCTCGCGACAAGTACCTATTGTGGCTTTTCGTAGTCAACAGTAATATGTACTTTGATATCATAAATCTCTTCTAAAGTGAGAAGTAATACTTTTTCTGCATGCTCGTTTGAAATAATTGTTGTTGCAGAACCGCTCTTGCCTGTGATAGTGACTTCATATTGGCATCTACTATAAAATAGAAAAATGCTTAGTTGAATAGATGAAAAATAGATAATAGTCAATTGTTAATAGTTGCGTGGAAGAATCTTGTAGCATTTATACCTAGGAATAAGTTGGGTAGTTTGATGACAGTTAGAGTAGTAGAATTTTCTCTGTGAAAAGTTCTTGTGAAGTGCTATTTGCATCTAAACATGCTAAGATACAGTATTGTCGGTTCTCGTTTTGTAGTGCGAGTTCAACTTCTATGTAAAATACTTGGCCCTTTTTCAAGAATGCCAAATATTTATTTTTCGTGATCAGAAAAAGCACTTAAAAATTCAGAACGGTACATATAAACATTTAATGTTCTTACCGGAGATTGTTGTTGGATATCTATAATTTGTACTCTCTATTTCTCGAAAAGAACAAATTGTAACGACCCGCCCGGTCGTTTCATGAGTTATAGCCCCGTTTCCTCCATTTCTTCTTCCTTATGTGTTCCTCAGCTGTATTTCATCATATCGTCTTGGTTGGTTCGGGTTCGGAGTGGTTTTGGAGTGAATTGCGACACTTAGTCTCTTTTGAGAAGGCTTAAGTTGGAAAAGTCAACCAGATGTTGACTTATGTGTGAACGATCTCGGATGTGAATTCTGATGGTTCGGTTAGCTCCGTTAGGTGATTTTGGACTTGGGAGCACGTCCGGAATGTGATTTTGAGGTCCGTGGTAGAATTAAGCTTGAATTGGCGAAATTGGAAATTTGGCGATTCTCGGTCGGCAGTGAAAATTTTTATATCAGGGCCGGGATGGAATTTCGGAAATTGGAGTAGGTCTGTAGTGTCATTTGTGACGTGTGTGCAAAATTTCAGGTCATTCAGAGGTGATTTGATAGGTTTCGGCATCGTTTGCGGAATTTGGAACTTTAGATGTTCTTAGGCTTGAATCCGAGGTTAATTTGGCGTTTTGATGTTATTTCGAGTGATTCGAAGGCTCAATTAAGTTTGAATGATGTTATGGGATGTGTTGGAATGTTTGGTTGAGGTCCCGAGGGTCACGGGTGAGTTTCGGGTGGTTAATGGATCAAATCTTGACTTTAAAAGTTGCAGATTTCTGGTGTTAGTTGTGTCTGGTGTAGGAAGTGCGGACCGCGTAAAATTGGTGCGGACCGCGTAAAATTGGTGCGGACCGCGGTGGTATAATGCGGCCGCAGTGGGAATTTCGTGGGCCGCGGAAGAAGGAATTTGGCCGCGGTGTATCTTATGCGGACCGCGGGAGGTAAGGCACAGGGCCCACGGCCGCGGCAGGATTTACGCGGACCGCGGCGAGAAGAGTGCGGCCGCGATGGAATTATGCGGACCGCGAAGTGGAGGTTTAGAGGGCACTATATAAGCAAGGTTTAGGGTTTTATTTCACATCTTGAACTTTGGGAGCTCGATTTGAGACGAAATTCCGAGAGTTTTTCAAGGAAATCATTTGGGTAAGTAATTCTAACTCGGTTTTGGCTAATATTCATGAATATATCACTAAATTCATCATTTGATTCGTGATTTGGGGTGGAATTTGGGGAAAAGTGGTGGAGTCTCATAAAAATGAATTTTTGGGAATTGAAAGCCCATTTGAGGTCGGAATTGAGTGAAACTAGTATGGTTAGTCTTATAATCGAATGGGTTGTCGGATTTTGCGACTTTTGACGAATTCCGAGACGTGGCCCGGGCTCGGCTTTTGAGTTGACTTTTTTACTTTTGATCTAAAGCTTAGCATTTTCTTATGGGATTGATTCCTTTAGCTCATGTTGACTGTATCGAATTGTTTGTGGCTAGATTCGAGGCATTTGGAGGCCGGTTCGAGAGGCAAGAGCATCACGGAGTAGGAATTTGACGGGGTTGAGGTAAGTAATGATTGTAAATCTCATCCTGAGGGTATGAAACCCCGGATTGCACATCGTTTTACTACTTTGAGGTGATGCACATGTTAGGTGACGGGCGTGTGGGCGTGCACTGTTGGGGATTGTGACTTGGTCTGTCCCGTAGCAACTATTAAGTTGCATATTTGACTGAAATTATATGATACTTATGTGATTTAGAAAGAATTTCTATAAATTGGGCTGAATGCCATATTTGGGCCTCGTGCCAAAGCTGTTTGGACCCTTAGGGGCCTTTTCTTATTATCCTCTCACTATTTTTAACTGAAAATCTATACTCGGTCATGCTATGTTTACTGATTTTATAACTCAGTCTTTATTATACCGTTTTGATGAATATAAAATGTTATTTTGGCTGAGCATCCTATTTTTTTTGCTGATAGCCCGAGTGGCTTGAGAGGTTTATGACTGAGTGAGGTCGAGGGCCTGTAATTGTGAGGATATTGAGAGTATAGCACGTGAGTTGTCCGTGCAGCACGTGAGTTATCCGTGCGGATTATGATATTGATACTATAGCACGTGAGTTGTCCGTGCAGCACGTGAGTTATCCGTGCAGCACGTGAGTTGTCCGTGCGAATTATAGCGCTTGGGCTGTAGGAGCCTCTCGGGAGTCTGCACACCCCCAGTGAGCGCGGTACCCTGAGTGAGTGATATGAGATATGCCCAAGGAGCCGTATACGAGTGACTATGAGGTTTGCCCGAGGGGCTGATTCTGAGCGATGTTGTGACTGAGGGGTTGTTTATGATGTTCATCACTTTTACTCTCATTTGCATTGAGTCTCTGTTGAACTGATGAAAAATATCTTCAAATGTTTTTACCGAAATCTAGATTTTAAACGAGATGATTTGATTCATATACTAATTTGAAAGCATGTTGTACTTACTGAGATTTCATGATGTGGATTTTATATGTTTCCTACTGCTCAGTCTTTATTTACCTTTGTTACTTACTGAGTTGGCGTACTCACATTACTCCCTACACCTTGTGTGCAGATCCAGGGGTTGCTGGACGTGCTAGCGAGCGTTGATTTCATCCGCCGCGGATCTGTTGGAGTCAGCAAGGTAGCTGCATGGCGATCGCAGCCTTGCTCTTCTCCCTCCTATCTTCCTTTAGATATTATTAGTTGTTTTCCAGACTATATTAGTCTTAGTTTTATCGGACAGTCCTTAATAGATGCTCATGACTAGTGACACCCCGATGTCGAATTTTTCTTCCGTACTTTGTTATTCAGATTTATCTTCTGAAGTTTTATTAATTAAATAGCTTAAAGAAATCTTTATTTTGAAATATCGGGTTGTTTTGATAAATGAGTCGGCTTGCCTAGTTTCACGTTAGGCGCCATCACGACATGGGGATTTGGGTCGTGACACAAATAAAAGATAGCCTGTTGGACCTGTATTCCTTGCTATGTATGCAATAATAATCGTCAAAAATTTTGGCCCTACAATTACATTAAAATCTGAACATTTGTTCTTCTATATGTTCAAGCATATGTATGAGAGAAAAGTTTTCTGCATATTTGTTATACACAGAGAAACTCATTTGTAATCTTGTGTGCATGTGATATTCAGTTTAATACTTGAATCCATTGCAACTATATATACTACCACTATGTATGTACAAACTAACCGAAGATTCCTGAATTCATTAAAATTTTCGAAATAACAACATCAATATTTCAGTTAGAGATGCAAGCTTTTTAACTTCAAAAAAGAAAAATTTAGACTTCTCGATCAATTAGTAATGAACTATAGGTTCTGATTGAGGTTCATGATTATTCTGATTTTGACGAAAGTGACTCCACTATTATTGATTCAAGAGTAACAGCTCTACATTGATCTACTAGCATGCAATCAAATGTGTAATTTGTAATGTACAAGAATCATTTTATATTACATGCTACGGGTCAAGACTCAAGATCTTCTAAATGTATATAGTTAGTTGTCTGAAGCATGTCTAACATCTTCAAGGTTTTGCATAAAGATGATAACATAAAGACCGTACCGTCAGAAGTTCAATAGGAACCATTTCCATAAATTATTACATCGTCGCTATCTCAAATTATAGAAAGAGCCTTTGCAGAAGAAAGCATAACCCACCAACATAGTCTGTAGACAAATGCAGTTCATTATATTTGTATTTGGTGCATAGAACTTGTAATATGAGACCACTGGTAGAACGAAGTTAATTATAATCCTATTGACATATACCTTGTTTAAGGAATCACACGGCCAAAAAGAAAAAACTTACGGACACTTACTATTTCCACAAGATTAATGAATTCATATACATCTATTATTTAATTAATCATAGTAATTCATACATATTCTCACCTTGATTTTCGCTTAAACGTTAGAAGTTAGTGTGAATTGGTATATATATAAACTTCAGGTGTAACCAACTTTACCTTTGCAGAATTATTCACTGATAGTTATAATTAACTTAAACCAATAGAGAAATTTACTTGTTACCCAAATGACCTGTAGGATCCATATCTACTTCTACTCTCAATTGTACGAAAACAGGCAACAACACTAGACAATCAAACCCATGCTTCCATGAAAGAAATGAAAAATCTACATAGACGAATAGCCTACATTGGGCTTTACACTTATAATATAATAATATAATATATTATAATATGTATTACTATATATCTATATATAGTAGAAATATAAATTAAAACATGTATTGCAATATATATCGACTGAAAACAGTTTTAAGCCAATTTAGTTGTTAGATCAAAGGTTCCAATGTCATTCAGTCAATTGGTCAAACATATGGCATGCAATTTGAAGGAAATATATGAAAGTGCAATTTGAATTAGCCATCCCAAAACAATTAGGAGAAAGTAATCACAACAATCCTTCATCAATTTCACACAACCATCAAAATAGTCCAAAATAAGAAGAATTCAAATATGTAATAAACCCCAAAACCAAAGAGCAAATGAAAAAAATGTAGAAATCAAGTACAGCTAATGGCCAGAGTGAAGAAAAAATTAAGGAGAAAAGCTGGAATAGGGCAATAATCCAGCAGAAAGACTTAAGATGAAACTCAAATTTCAAGTCAAAAAGGGATTATCACCTGGTTTTCGCCATTTCTTGGTGTTACGCTTTGATTATGATGAATTATTGTTGTACTTTTTCTCTGTGGACGTAGCAAATTTCAGATTGGGATATTGGGGTAGAAAGAAAGAGAAACGGGAATTAAGATTGTTAAAGAGAAGACATGTTACACGTAGACTGTCATGGGCGGCTTTCCAGCCTTGCCCCATGACCCCTTGGGCGCGCCCCGTGGCGTCCTAGCAAACCTCCCAATGCCTAGCGCCACGGACGGCCCCGTGGTCTTGGCCGCGCCAAGTGACAAGCGCGCAGGTGCCTCTGTCGCCCCATCGATATCCCTCGCGAGCGCCAAGCCGCAGGCAGAAGCCAACAGCGCCGTGCGCGCAGACAACGCCGCGCGCGCAGACCGTGATGCCAAAGACACTGCTGCTGACAACGGACCTGCTGCTGCCTTATAGAAAACTAAGTCATTTTCATTGTAAATATAGAGTAGTTTTATTTCATGTACTTCCATTATGTTTCTCTAGCTTAGTCAAGTCTAGTCTTGTAACTTTGGATTATTTTTTTTAAGTACTATTAGGGGGATCAAGCAATCAAAACTTTCTAGCAAGCAAGCAATTCTCTGTACTGGTGTCTCTCCCCCTCGACACCGCGTTGCTTTTCTGTAATAGCTTTCATTAATGCAATCAAGCTTTCTTTCATTCTGAATTCTCATTTTTGTTCTCTCAATTGCTCTTGACATTGGTTTTCCCGTACGGCACTGACAATCTCGTCTAGCGTACGGAGGGGACCTCAGTTGGCGGACAGCAACTGCACTGACATCAGTTGCCTAGCCTTACGTCGCCCTTCCAAGGAATCTCAGGAAGGCGCCGCGTAACAGTTGGTATCAGAGCCTAGGCTCGACATCGGACGAGGGAACGTATTGACATACCACCATTTCTGACCATGGTGAATCATGGGGACCGCATTGCGGCCCTCGAAGGGACGGTTGAGGTATTGCGGCATATTGTGGATACGGTGCCTGAACTAAGAACCAGCCTACTGCAAAGGTTGGACGACCTGGACCGCAGGGTGCTTCAGGTCGAAGTTGACGTTGAAAACATCAGTCGCGACTCCGAGGGAGACCGACAGACGGCAGCCATAGAGGCAGCCGAAATCTTTGAGAAATTCGAGGGGCTCCAACAGGAGCGCACCGAGGATTTAGCCCACAAGGCACAAGAGGCAGAAAAGGTGACTGCCATGCAACAAACCATTGACAAATTGACAGACCAACTCAATGTTGTCAACGCTGCTTTACAGGGCCTACTCCGAGGAGGTGGAAACCAAATCGGAGGTGCTGTGAACTCCGCTTCCGCGACAAAGAAGCTGAAAATTCCTGAGCCAAAGCCATACAGTGGAGCTAGGAATGCCAAGGAAGTGGAAAACTTCATCTTTGACGTCGAACAGTATTTCGATGCTGTTGGGGATCTGGAGGAAGCTAAGAAGGTAGCAACTGCTGCCATGTATCTTCAGGGTGATGCTAAACTCTGGTGGCGTGTGAAGTACGAAGCCATCAAGGCCGGTGAAGATGCTCTCGAGACATGGGCCGAACTGAAGGCAGCTATACGCCTGCAGTTCTTCCCCGAGAATGTTGAATATAATGCAAGGAGAAAACTACGGGAGCTCCGCCAGACAAAATCAGTGCGGGACTACGTGCGAGAATTCTCCGCACTCATGCTCAGCATACGCGACATGGGGGATAAGGACAAACTCTTCACCTTCATGGAAGGGTTGAAACCTTATGCCCGCGTGGAGCTACAGAGACAAAGGGTAGATTCCCTTCCCAAGGCAATCCAAGCAGCTGAATGCCTTGGGGACTATCAAATGGAAGCTCGAAGGGACAGGCCTCAGCCGCCTGCCCGAGCAGGGTTCAAAGGGGGCCAGCCCAGCAGTGGTGGTCCTAGCAAAAATGGGGGAGATCGGAACTCAAACAAATCTAGAGCTCCTTCCTCCGGCAGCAACAGTGCTGCGTCAAACAACAATGATCGGGCGAGAAAGCCTCCTTCAGGATGCCGTCATTGCGGCGGTCCACATTGGAACAATGAGTGCCCACATGCACAGATGAATGCCCATCAGGCTATTGATGATGGGACTGATGACGACTCAGACGATGCGGACCAGACTGAACCAGTAGGTGCCTTCAATGCAATTGTGGGTTCCATTTCTGAGGCACTAGCGGAGACCAGTGCTGGTATTCGTAAGAAGAAGGACTCATGTCCCGTCACCAGGAAAGGGAAAAAGAAGGCGAATGAAGAGACTCCTCTTAAACAAGAGAGGACCTTAATGTTCGTCGAGATGAAGGTGAATGGCAAGCCCATTCGGGCTATGATAGACACGGGTGCTACCCACAACTACTTAGCCTCGACTCAGGTGGAGCGCCTTGGACTAGTTGTAGGGAAAGGTAAAGGTAGCGTCAAGGCTATCAACTCACCTCCCCAGCCAGTGGGTGGAATAGCTAAAGAAGTACCGGTGAAGCTTGGGCCTTACGAAGGAAAATTCAACCTGCGAGTGGTGATCATAGATGACTTCGAGTTGATTGTTGGGCTGGAATTCCTAAGGCAAACCAACACCATGCCTGTACCATTTGCAGACATGCTACTGATGATGGGTACCAATAGGGCCAAGCCCTGCATTATCCCGTGCCTGCCCATGAAGATGGCCGTTGAGAACATCTCGGCCTTGCAGTTGAAGAAGGGGGTCAAAAGGAATGAACCTACGTTCCTGGCAACCCTCTGCATTGAAGATATAGAACGCTCCTCGGGTCCCATTCCTGAACCCGTGAAGGAGTTACTACTGGAGTTTGAAGATGTCATGCCACAAGACATGCCAAAGCGGCTCCCGCCTAGGCGCACTGTGGACCATGAAATTGAGTTGGTGCCGGGCGCGAAGCCACCTGCCCGGGCGCCTTACAGAATGTCACAACCCGAACTCACCGAGCTTCGGAGACAATTGACGGAAATGCTTGATACAGGGATCATTGTACCCTCCAAGTCCCCATATGGGTCCCCTGTTCTATTCCAAAAGAAACATGATGGCAGCCTGCGACTCTGTGTGGATTATCGAGCTCTAAACAAAATCACCGTGAAGAACAAGTACCCTATTCCCCTAATGGCGGACTTGTTTGATAGACTGGGTGGTGCTACGGTGTTCACCAAGATAGATCTGAAGACAGGTTATTGGCAAGTTCGGATTGCAGAGGGTGATGAACACAAGACGACTTGTGTGACAAGATATGGGTCGTACGACTTCCTGGTCATGCCATTCGGCTTGACCAACGCCCCTGCTACGTTTTGCACTCTCATGAACCAAGTCTTCCGAGAGTACATCGACGAATTTGTGGTGGTCTACTTAGATGACATTGTGGTATATAGCCAGACATTGGAAGAACACCTAGTACACTTGCGGAAGGTCCTAGCTCGGTTGCGGGAACATGAACTATATGCAAAGTTATCCAAGTGCTCCTTTGCTCAGAAGCAAATTGATTTCCTCGGACATGTCATCGAGGAAGGACGCATCAAGATGGACCAACAGAAAATCCAGGCCATCACAGATTGGCCGCCACCTAAGGATGTCCACGCCTTGAGGGCGTTCCTTGGCCTATGCAACTTCTACCGGCGGTTTGTGAAGAACTACTCACTTATCGCAGTGCCATTGACAGAACTCCTCAAAAAGGTCACACCTTGGGATTGGGGACCAAGGAGAGCAGAGGCCTTCAACGCATTAAAAGCGGCTATGTCTAGTAGTCCCGTCTTGGCCCTTCCTGATTTGGCCAAGCCGTTCGAGGTACAAACAGATGCATCTGACTATGCCCTCGGCGGAGTCCTGCTACAAGAAGGGCACCCTGTAGCGTACGAGAGTCGGAAGCTGAAGGATGCAGAGCGGCGCTATGCCGCCCATGAGAAAGAATTATTGGCTGTCGTCCACTGCTTGCGCCTCTGGAGGCACTATCTGCTGGGAACCCCGTTCGTGGTCAAGACAGACAACACAGCTGTTAGCCATTTCATGACCCAGCCGAAGCTGAACGGTCGACAGGCCAGGTGGCAGGAACTCCTAGCTGAATTCCACTTCAACTTGGAGTATCGCAGTGGAAAGACCAATCATGTTGCTGATGCGCTCAGTCGGAGAGTTGATCTAGCATCGGTGTGCCTACTCGCCACCCTAAGGGGGAGCGAAGTAGCCACATCCATCAAGGACCAAATACGGGATCTACTCATCACGGATCCTGCTGCTCAGTATTTGGTTGATTTGGTAGGACAGGGCAAGACTCGCCAGTTCTACATGGAAGATGGTTTTCTGAAAGTAAAAGGGAACCGACTTTATGTTCCTAAAGGAGGAGATTTGCGAAGGACTCTTCTAGCAGAATGTCATGATACTCTGTGGGCCGGCCATCCCGGTGAAGAACGCACCATGGCGTTACTTCGTCGTACCTATTATTGGCCTCAAATGGCCGATAATGTCGCTCAGTATGTGAAGACTTGTCTAGTATGCCAGAAGGACAAGTCGGACCGCTTGACACAAGCGGGACTCTTGGAACCACTCGCTGTCCCAAAGAGACCTTGGGAAAGCGTTTCCCTGGATTTCATCACCGGATTGCCCAAGGTCGGAGATCTCACAACCATCTTGGTTGTGGTGGACCGGTTTTCCAAGTATGCCACCTTTATTGCAGCCCCACAATATATATCAGCAGAAGATACAGCTCGACTCTTCTTCTCTCATGTCGTTAAATATTGGGGCCTGCCCAAAGACATTGTTAGTGACCGCGACTCACGCTTCACTAGCAACTTTTGGACCCAACTCTTCAAGTGCCTTGGGTCAAAATTGAGTCACAGCTCAAGTTTTCATCCGCAATCTGATGGCCAGACGGAGCGGTTCAATGGTATGTTGGAGGAATATCTCCGCCACTTTGTAACCGGATCGCAGAAGAATTGGGTGAAGCTTCTGGATGCTGCTCAACTGTGTTTCAATTCACAAAAGAGCTCTAGTACCAACAAAAGCGCTTTTGAAATTGTTACCGGACAGCAACCGCTACTCCCACACACTGTGAATGCACCAAACATGGCTAAATCTCCTCGAGCTGCCAGCTTCTCAAAAGAGTGGAGGCGGAATTTAGAGATAGTGCGGAGCTATCTTGTCAAAGCCCAAAAGCGGATGAAGAGGCATGCTGATCAGAATCGTCGCTTTGTT